TTGCTGCAAGGTATTCGAACTGAGGATCCTCTAAATCTGAACATTAATCTTAAGAAAATTTACAACTTGCACGTCATCTATTCATTCTTATCTTCTTCCCCATTTTGCCGTTTGTACACTTCCCTGGTTTGTTGATTTCACTAAAAAAGTGACTCGTAACCACAAAATAGCGTCAGCCAAGTAAAGCTGTTCGCCAGCTTCCCTGGCTCGATACCGATACGGAGGCACTGCAACGGAAGCTAGCTACATCCTCTCTCCACTTTGGAGGTTAACAGTGGGGAGGAATACAAACCAACATACCTTCCCCTTTTGTATCAGGCCCGAAAGCATTTCCAGCTGTTCTTCAATGGGTACCGCATCTGGCCTCTCTAGCTGCATGGCACTCCCACATGAAACGTACACTGCACGGCGTATATCCCACTTTGGTCTCCGGCAACAAGGTCCCTAGACAACACATTTTAGCATTTGCAGGGCACTCGGTGACTTTTAAGTGGACATACGCCCCAGCAATAAGTATCTTCTCCGAGCTCCTGGCGGGGTACGTAGCGGTTAGGGTCGGACAGCTGGAGAATGTCAATGCAGTCAATCCCCAGCTTATTCAGCATGTTGTCAACTGCTGCTTCCAAATCTCTCCTGCCAACATACGATAAGCGCGTAAATCATTAATAGTGAAGCGCCTGTGCTTTGCTAAGAATATAAGACACTGCTGTGCCGTGTACGACACTGCTGTGCCATCATACGAAAACCACTTATTAATAGTGCAGCTACTGTGCCACGCTAAGAACACAAGACAGTGCTGTACGCCCAAGCACTAGTAAAAGGGAGTCAAAATGGCAATCAGCCTCACGCCGTCAGTTGTTGAGTCCCATATGGCTCCCGAGCCCACCAGCCCATGGGCCTCGCCCAGCGGATGCTGCCTTCTGTTTCTCTTCCAACCGTTAGAGAGGCGGCTTTGACGGCAGCAGCGGCAGCAGCAGCAATTTCTGAAGCACTAGCTCCAGCTTCGGCCGCCTCATGAGCAGCAGCACACCCTACCGCCTCTTTTCGCTTCCGTTCAAGGGCAAGCCGCTCGTAGTCAAAGGCTCCCAATGAGCCACTAAGTAGCCGCACTGAGACACACAGTTGCTGGGCCTCAGCGCGCAAATGCCCTTCAGTAGCAGCTGCTGTAGCTGGAAATGTAGCTGCTGTTGCGGAAGACGCAGCAGCTTTGTCAGGAGAAGCCGAAATGCTCGTTCCGCTTCTTCCACCTCCAAGGCCCCTATACTTTCGAAAAAATCTACGCAAGACCACTCGGTGGCCACTGCCACAATGCTGAGGGCCGTAGGGCAATGGGTCGAGCTCTCCTACATCCTGGGCAGCAGAAGTATCCCACAGCGGCATACACCACCCCTGCTTTAACTTACCGAAGCCTTACCAAACCCTGCTGAACCCTTGTTTTCAGCATCCTGTGAATACATTGCAAATGCAACAAAGTCGGCACACAAGGAAGAAATTTGGCTCTCACGTAGAAATTAATGCCATAGTCCTCATACGCTGTGCACAGCATCTTGAAGGCTTCTTCGTCCCCCTGCATCATGTTGCCACCAATCAGAGATGTACCTACGCATAGACTGCTGACTAGCGGTCCATCCTGCTGAACTGGCTGCTGCTCATGCTGCTCCTTTGGTCCACTCTTTTGCCGCTGCTCTTGCCGCCCTATCTGCTGCGCCAGCGGGGAACCGAGGCGGCGGTAGGTGACTCCTGCAAATATTGCAGACGGCAACAAGAGCGCATGCATGGTTTTCAGATAAACCAACTACCCAATTTACAGCACCAAAGGTGACTTCCTTACCCGCAACAAGTTCAGGATGCGGCAAACGTAAGGCCACGGGGAAGGCATTTTTAGCCTCTTCGGCCTCCTTCACCTTTCTCAAGGCCGCTACGCGCAGAGCCAAAGCGGCATTATTCTGAGACTCAGCTCCAGAACAGGGATAGCTAGAGGCTTTATCAATCGCTCTTTTGGGCACCTTCCCAATGCTCCTTCTAGGATCAAGCGGACCCTGTCCTTTGCGTGCAGCTGCCAACCTACTGTGGCGTGGCATACTCATACTCCCACCAACTCGCAGCTGTGTGAACGCTGAAGGTCCGTAAAGCCGACTGCTACGGCCGATGAGCCAATGTTCAGGAATGCCAAGAAATGGTGAAGAGCTTCGTACCTCTGAAGATGCCAACTTTCTCAGGCCTCCCCAATGCGCTTCCCCCGGAAGGAGCAGCGGGAACCACTGTGACCCTCGATGGCAGTCAGTCGGGTAGATCTGCGACAGACTGCGACATAGAGGCCCCTGCGAGTGAGAAAGCATGCGCATGGCGGCCAGAAAAGGAAAACTCTGGAGAAAACCTAGCGAGTACACTCCGTAAACGATGAAGAAAAAAGGACGCCATCCCTTGCTAAGACGTGGAATCTCCATCTCTGGCATGTTCCCGATGCGCCGAAAGCGTCCAACACATGGGGATGATGCAAGACTAAATTCATCGCTCAATGCCCATTTCGCTCTCTCGCGCAGTCAAAAACGTCTTGAAGGGAATCCAAGAGGCCGCTGAAGTGTTGCGGTTACTGCTCTGGAGGGGAACACCTCATTTTCCACACTAGACTCGCATATGAAATACAACAAGCTAGTGTTGAAGCTGCTCACAGGCCCCAGGTTCATGAATAGGATGCACAGATCGAACAAGATCTGTTAACTGTGATATGAAGGGCCGGACAACATAGCGTCCTGGAACGCAGAGACAATGAGGACCTTGCTTGTGAACATACTAAATATAATTTGAACTTTGGCACCTATGGCTTGTACTTCTACACCCTATCTCTACGGGTTCCTGCCAAGACATGGAACTGCGCTTGTATCAACAGCGTTCATTCCAGCCAAATCAGTGCTGTCTTGGGCGGGGTTAAACAAAAGGAAGTAGTTAACAGTCTAGCAGTATATAATAAAAATTGAATACAAACGATGCTGAACAAATTGGCGGTAATGAAAGGATTCACAGCAGTGCGGGAAACCCCGCATGCAGCACGGATGGCCGAGTGGTCTAAGGCGCCAGACTCAAGTTCTGGTGGATGTACGTCCGCGTGGGTTCAAATCCCACTTCGTGCATTGCTTCTTTGTCCTAGCACACTACATTATCATATTCGCTGTTAAGCTTACGACTTTACCCTTCTGTTATTGAAACGTCACAATGTTGGAATTCACTAGGTTGTTGTGCCAACTTGTTCTGTCACGCTCAGTGCCTGCATCCGTAGGTTCTGGCTCTTCATTGAAAAACATTGTTGCAGGCCATCACTCGAAGTTGCCCACAAGCGCCACGCACTGAACTTGAAGTTCCAAATCACGAACGTATTTTATTTTCCTCCTGCACTCTGGCTACCCTCCATACCCGCACTATGTATCTGTGACGGCATTGTTCGCTTGCAAGGAAATAAATGCGCCGTGCACTCAATGCAACCCCAGCTTCCCGGCAAAAAGCCTAGGTCTTCGGCTAAGTAGGTTCCCAGAACTACAAAGACTTCCCGTAGCTGTATACGCCAGACTGTTGCAGCAAGTCGGCTTCCATATCAGACGCTGCAGGAGAGTGGCAGCACTGACAGCAACATCTGGAGTTGCTTTCAGCCTAGAAGCAGTCAGCTCAACGAGCTGCCCTCGGTCCGTCCATCCACTGTGGTGTACTGTGTCACGCACCTTCGTCCCGTCACACGATATCTCGATGCTGCAGCACGACAAGAGAGGTGCGAGCAGGGACGGGGCCCCCCAGGGGTTGAAAAACTGTCAAGAAGGCGAGGGATGGCTGGAAACGAGATTCGCAAAAACGGGTCCTCAATGAACAAAGGGGAGGCAGGAAGAAAAACCGCACGGATGGCCGAGTGGTCTAAGGCGCCAGACTCAAGTTCTGGTGGACGTACGTCCGCGTGGGTTCAAATCCCACTTCGTGCATTTTCAACCAATTTAAGCGTACGCTACAAGAACACCATCTCTGTGCCAGCTACAAAAACACACCATCTCTCTGTGCCAGCTATGGGCGAGAACGCTCACGTTTATGTTTACCTGCTATGCAGGCGTAAACGTGGTTCTGTTCTGGTGCATCTCTGTTCACGCAGTGCACACAGGTGCACATTCACCCTAGTTGAGCATATACCTGCTGCACACGACTCGACGCCAAAGCTGCAAAGGCTTGCGTTTCTGCAGCCGCTAGAGTATCTGCTGTTCCCCAGGGCCACTGTGTTGCTGCCAATCTTCTGGGAGCCACCTAATTTGCAGAATTTTCTACTTGAACTTCTAATGCATGCAGGCGTGTACGCCCGTTCTCGTCTGTAGCTCAAAGTTACACATTAGTTGCACTTCAAGACGAAATTCTTCGTTGATACACAGTATATACTGTATGCAAGAGTTTCTACACTTCCAGATGCATACAAAAATACAGTATGTGCATTAACGTCTATCTACGCTTCAGTCTGTATGCACATTTGTGCATGTGCATGACTGTATGAGGGCATATGAGCCACATCGTATAAGTATGAAGGTGTTAACGCTTCAAATCCATGTTCAGCATCAAGAGTTTAAGTCCGTGAAGAAAGGCACGGAATTTCGCGTACACCAAGAGGAGCCTCAAAATGCACAGAGACAAACCGCCTCAGGTTCATGACTAGCAGAGAATCATGTTCCCTTAAAGTGGGGCCAACGCTACAAAAGCTCCAGATCTCCTTCCTTGATCCCAAACCCTAAATATCAAACCTTCTTTCTCCTACCCACCTAAAAACGCACTCAGTAGCAGCTTCGTTTCGCGGTGCTTCCTGGTGAACGAAGAAGATACTGGCTCAAATGGAATAAAGGCCCCTATCTTTTCGCCCATCAAGTATTTCGCCTTATTCAAGGAAATACCCCATACATATTAAATTTTTCTACAGAGGTTTAACTGGGCCCAATCGAGGGCTCAGTCTTCAGTGGCATCCAATAAGGAGGCTCCCAATTTTAGATGGGCCTCTTAGTTCGTGTCTTCGTAGATTGCCGTTTATTTGGCTTTTCTGCACTTCTCGACTGTCTAGGCGAAACGAAAATATGGGGCCTTCCGAGTCGATTCCGAAAATAGTCTTCTGGGGACCACTTAGCCCCATTTTCGAGACTAGCCTCCACGGCCTCAGCCGCTGCACTACGCAGCCATTTCAGATCTAAGAAGGGAATTATGGGACGGTGAAGCCACTCGGGAAGCTGTGCTGATTTATCTTTCGTGGGGACTCGCTTCAGGGCCCTTTCGAGAGCCTGTTTGCCCTCGTCCATCGCCGCAGCAACTGCTGCAGTTGCTGCACTTGCTTCAGTGTCGTCCGATGTAGGGATAGAAGCCCCTTCGGAGAGCTCTGAAGCCTTTCCAGGGTAAGGAATTGCCTGGAGTGGACAGGGGTCAACCAAGAAGGAGGAAGGAAACATTGTCTCAATGGCGGTATGGTTCGGGGCCACATGCAGTCGCCTGTAAGGCGCTGGCAGTAGCCTTGTGCTGCTAGGGGGAAGCACGGCGAGTAGCTGCTGATACGGTGAGATAGGCTGAGCGTGGGGGAGAGTAATCCGAAGCTTTGGAGCCCTCAGGGCCCCCAAATCTGAAGCCAGAGGTGCGTAGTTGTAGGGAAACTCCCAAGACCAAGAAGGGGTCCCACTGTGGTAATAATGTAGCAAAAAGAACAGTCCTGAAATATACTTCACGCAAAGCTCGTGACGGAACACCCCAAAGGGCACTCCAGGAAGACGCGTAGCTGATGAAGGACTCCCTCCTAGTGATCCTTCCTCGTGGCTTCCAGCATCACCGGAGGGAAGGAAGCTTCCACGGCCTTCCGCTGCCGCGAGGTCCTGCAGCGGAAATTTAGCCGCGTAGTATTCTGCTGCACGTTCTTTTCTCAGAGGACCTGGCGGTCCCCCTGGCTCAAAATGCGGCCCTTCCTGGTGAGAGATTAAAGCGAAGAATCGTATGAGCCTCGGGAGATGGATCTGGGTCTTGCGGGTCAGGGGGCCCCCTAGCACTGGGAGGGCCCTTGTGTACAATTGCAACAACCATGAAAAGCCCCCAGCGTAAATATTTATGTGAGGCAGTGCAGGCAAAAAATCATTTCCCACAAAGAACGAAAGAAGCACAAAGTCGTCCACCAGACGGCTTGCCTCCAGCTCTTGTAATTGACGCAGAGATGCCCCCAAAAAGGACCCACGCGGGATCCCCCTTAAGGATCCCAGGGGAATCTGGCACGAAGGAGCCGCAAGTCCTACGCGTCGTACGCCTCTAATGGCTTCTGGCGGCTTCTTTCGCAGGCCTACACGCGACGCTGCTGTAGCCGTGCTTTGTATTGATGCACCGGTGGCTTGCCTTTGTGGTTCTGCTGCCGCTGCTGCTATTGCTGCTGCGATTCCTGCTTCATTTGCTGCTGCGGTGGCAAGAGAGCGAACAAGCTGGTGTCTGAGAGAATCAATACACACAACTTCGAAGTCCTTCGCTGTATAACGCAGGAAATCACCGGTAGCAGGCAGCAAAAAACCATTAGATGCAGGTTGCTGCCCCTCCTGCTGTTGCTGTGGCTCCCCTTGTTGGTCTTGTTGCCTCCCCTTCCCTTCGCCGTTGCCTGGTTCACTTTGTGCATGAGGCTGTGCGTCTTGCTGTCGTTGCCGTTCCTGCTGCTCTTTCTGTCCTTGCTGCTGTTCCTGCTGGCTCCGTAGAGCGTCTTGAATGCGCAGCAGCACTTGCCTTGCTGCTGCTGCGCGTGTGCCTCTAAGAGACCGCTGCTTCTCCCTCAAGATCAGCAACCCCGGTCGCTGCCGAGCCAACGCCAACACCAGTAAGTCTGCGTCTAGCCCGTACAGGCAAATACGACCAGGAAGCGCGACCAGCAGCTCGGAAAGGTCCTGCTGCTGTTGCGGCTGCTGTTGCTGCATCGAGGGCTTGTCAGATGCAGTTTCACCAGGTGGCGCTACCTTATCTGTTGGTGAGTCTGCAGCAACGGGAAAGGCGACGCCAGCAGCAGATGATGCTGCTGCTCGCGTCACGTGCAGACTCGTAGCAGCAGTTAACTCCTCAAACGACGGCGGCAGGAGCACGCGAAACCTGGCTGCTGGCTGTTTCTTCCTTCTGTGCTGCAGCGTTTTCCGCTGCTGCTGGTGCTGCTGCACCTCACTGCTCCACGCTTCTGCCAAAGCAGCGTTTGGAGACGCCCAGCTACCCCTGGTCAACAACTGCATCAATTTGTGCTCACCTTCCCCAGGCACATCAGCCCCGCTGAAGACTATGGCACGCATTGCGCCCCAAACTTTGCTGCTGCGCTGTTTGTACGCAATGAAGCGTCTCAGTGTGCTCTCTGCAACAAACATAAAATGGGTCCCAGGCCCTATGCTATTTGTGTCAAACCGGTTGTCCTCTCCTGCCGGTGCTGTTGTTGCCGCTGATGCTGCTGCAGTGGCGATCCCTGCTGCTGCTGCTGCTGCTGCAGTTGCATCAGGTGAAGTGCCTGCTATAGAGGCTGACAGGAGTGCAGTTGTTGGAACGGTTGTATCGTCTTGAAACAAAGACCGCTGCTGTAGCTGCTGCTGCCGCTGCTGCTGCTCCCGCTGCTGCCGAAATCGCCGGCTGCGCTGCTGTGCTAACTTCGCAGCAGGAGGAACCCCATCCAGAGTGACGCACAGGAGGGTGCGGGGCCTCACAAGCTTGACAAGTAAGTCAAGGTACGACAAGACTCGCTGCAAAAGCAGCGGCAGGTGCTGTTGCTGCAAAAGTGGCTGCAGCAGCTGTTGCTGCTGCTGCAGCAGACTCACCGCAGGAGAGTCCGGAATGTGGCCGTGTATGCAGAGGTGTAGTAAAGCATTAAAATCTATCAGCAGCGCATCAATGGGTATTTGCTGCTGTTGCTGCTCATCTAGGTTGCACTGCAGCAAACTGAAATCGGCGCCTGCTGCAGCTGATGCTGCACCAAACGTGCTTTGAAATTGCTGAAGCAGCAATTCTTCCTCCCTTTGAAGTTGCTGTAGCATCCGTTCCCTCACAATATCCTTAGCAGCTCTACTACTGCTGGTGCTACTGCTTGTTTTGCTGCTGCTCGTGCTGCTGCTGTCACTTTGCCGCGCCAGCCCGCGCCAAACATATCTTTGAAGGGGCTGCACACAAGTGGGGAACTGATTACATAGCCAGCGGTAGAAGTGCGGAATGCCATTTACTGCAGTGCTGTTGCTGTTCCTGGACAGAATCCTGCAGGGGGCCGAGCATTTTCGCAGCCAGGGGTGTTCCCTGCAGTTGCTGATGCGGCGCCAGTTGTGGCCACAGTTGCTGCTGGTACTCCTGCTGCATACAGCAGCAACAGATGTAGAGGGATACACATGGAAGGCGACGGATCGGCTGCGGCAGCAGAAAGGCGCTTGGCTCGTGTGCTGTGTGGGCCCCACTAGCTGGTAGGGCGGGAATCCCCCCAAAGCCTCCGCCAGCTCCTTTAAACTTAGCACCAGCAGAATCTGCAGCAGCAGCTGCTGCTGGTGCCTCAAGTGCGAAGGAACAGCCATGCCCGATTCCAATGCTGCCCCCTACCCAGGGGCCTCATGGTTTGGGGGCCCCCATCAGGACTGAGGGCCCCCACCTAGCCCTCTGTCCTTCTCGTAATTTTCGGGAGATGAAGGACTGGTGAGGAAACATATAGCTTTACTATTTGCTGATATACGAAAATATTTAGAGGCTGAGGAGCAGCAGCAACAACAGCAGCAGCTGCGGCCGCAGCAACGAATGCAGTAGCCGCAGCCGCATATGCTGGAGGCTTCCCAAGTACAACACTGTCTTGCCTGCATTTATGCCCTAAATTCGTGGCATTTATATATTTGTCTGGCTGTATCAAGCAGCGAGGTATTCAACAGCAGAGCGTGGCTTCGGCTGTATGCAGAAGGGTCTAGAGTGTAGACCTGAAACGAGAATCCGGAGCTTATGACTCGGGCAGTGCCTTAAACGTATTTAGGGTCAATAACCGACGGTTTTCCCCCAATACATATATATTTGGGCCGCCAGGGGCCCTGCTTGCCTCTTCAAGGGCCCCCCTTTGCCCTTTGGCTGGTACCTCTGATCACTGAAGCAGCCCCGGCGGCAAAATGAGCTTCTCCTTTTCCCTGAAGAAGTCATCAGCTACTAAGCCCACAGCCGGAACAGGAGGAGCGCCAGCAGGAACAGTGCGGGCACCGCTTGCTGTGTTTCAAGAGGCATTAGAGGCTGAGGCTTTGGAAGCTGAGCAACAGCAGCAGAAGCCTTCTCGCTTGTCATTATCTCATTTCTCCCGCCCCGCAGGCAAAATAGATAAGGAAAAGGTAGAGCAGTTGCTGCAGCAGGACCCCCAAGCTCTGTCCTACGATGAGGTGTATGACCAAGTCAGCTGCAACGCAGCGAAGGAGCAGCAGCAGCGCTCGCATGCTCACTATACTTACCTTGGATACACAGAAGACATCAAGGACAAGATAGCCAAGGACAACTTAGTGGCAGACACTCTGGCAGCAGAGGCAGCAGCGGCCGCTAAAGCCACGGGGGCTTCGACTAGCCCTCTGGGGACCTCGCCGGGGGCCCCTGGCGGAGCGTCGGGGGCCCCACAGGCGCGTTACATTGGCAAGTTTGTGGTGAAGGCGCAGCGGCGGCAGGTGGAGAAGGAAATAATCAAAGAGCGGCAGATGAAGAAGGAGAGAGAGAGGGAGGGAGCAGTACCGGAGGAGGTGTTCGTGACAAGCGCTTACAAGGCTCGACTTGAGGAAAGAAGGAAGATTATGGAGGAACTGGAGAGACAGGACGAAAGGGACAGACAGAGTGCTGCAGATAAACAGAGGGATTTGTCTTCATTTCATTCCTATCTGCTCAAGTCAGGAGCAGCAACGCGCAGCGCCGTTGGAGCCAGTCCGGCTGCAAGTGCTGCTGCTGGCGCAGCAGCAACTGCTGCTGCAGCTGCTTTACGTGCTTCTGCTGCCCACAGGCAGCCGGAAGCAGCCGGAGCAGCAGCTCCTGCAGCAAAGTCTGGGCAAGTGAAGAATTCGCCTGGTGCACTGAAGGCCGAGAGCCCAGCAGCAGCTTCTCACAGCCAGTCCCCCCAGCAGCAGAATAAGGAAGAGAAAACTTCTGTCAAGGCAGAGCCCGCGAACGACGCCCACAGCAGCCCTGCCACCCCCAGCAGCAGCAGCAGCAGCAGCAGCAGCAAAACTCCGATAACAGAAGACATGGTACTGCCGTTTAAGAGGTCTGCAGGGCCCAAGACTTTGCCTGTCCCCGACAAGCTCTCGCCTGCTGACATTGCCAGCGCCAGGGCCCGGTATTTACAACTCAAGAAGTTGAAGACGGAGACAAAATGATCGAAAAGGAAGTTAAAATAACAAAGACAAGGGGGAATGTTCATCTCTGGGCCTCCTCTAGCACTGCAGAGTTTCGTTACTTCATCACTCTTTCACTCTTATGTCCCCAAGTTATGGACATTTTTGTGTTTCGACAGAGTGGTGATGGCCGTGGTAGCCTAACTAGTTGGAGCCAACGAAGTAGTATGTTAGTTGGAGACAGAGAAACAGAGATATTGGAGTGTGTAAGAAGCAACTGAAGCGGAAGACACACAGCCAAACAAACTTGCGGCTTACGTTTAAGAGTACAGACGCAATTCCAATGGCCAAGTGAAGCTTCCTACGCTGTTTCACTCACGCCATACTTGCGCATAGTGGACAAAATATTATCATCTATTGTGAAACTACATGCACGTACTCACGTATCTTTGAATCTGTGCTTCCATGCGTGCATGTATATATATATGTGGAGGGATGTTCTGTGTTTGTGGCAATGCATAATGCATGTAAGTACTCGCATTGAGCACTTATCTACCTATTCACGTGTGTGAGTGTATGTTCACTCTCACGAATCCGGACTCCTCAAGGGGACAGACAGAGGCAGCAGTGCTTTTCGCGGCCAAACTTGTCCGATGCCCGTCAGCGGCGAACATTCTTAAAGTTCCAAAAGATGTTTGTGATCATCGTTCGTGCATGTCAACTGTTCCCCGCTCCGTGCCTCCCCTCTGTGGTTCACGGAGACAAGCCCTTGCGCAGCCGTAATTTAGGGGCTCACACTGCGGGAGTCAGGGTACTGCATGTGGCCAGGGTACTGCATGTTGCTTTAACTATCTACTTCGCTTGCCAGCGCAAACGTGGCGTTACATGCGCAGCCAACTCGGTTGCAGCTGCGCCCCAACTGTGAGTATCGCCGCAACAGGGGCTGTAGAACACCACAGAAGCAAACCCCACAAGCTAATTTAAACGGCTTTTGAGGTAAGGCGAGCTTGCGTTTGCCTTGTTCTTTCCCAGATGCCCGTATGTCGCCCGCCCACACCGATGGGTGGTGCTGGCACCCGTGCACGCTGTTCTCCCTCTTCAAAAGACACAGCCCAAGCTTAAGTTTACAGCTGTTGTTAATATGGCCAAAGTGCGCTGTTAAAAATCTTCACAAGCACGTGCATATGCCTACACCAGCAACCTCCGTTGAGGCATTGACACACAGCAGGTCTGGGAGAGCGGCGTGCATGGAATGACTGAATTTCTTCTGCGTTTCTCGGCTCTGCTTTATTTGCTTTTATTTTTTTTACTAAGTTAGAAGAGACATAAAGAGGCGGAAGCTAGATGAAGGCAGACATACGTGGCTACTCTTTACTGCTCTTTACTGCTTACCTACCTCGCCCAGCAGGAGGGCAAGTGTGCGCTCTTGGTTTTTAGTCGTCGAGGACTTTTAGGGTTTTTAATGATATTGTTTTACCTCATGGCAGTGAAATTGATTCGCTTAATTTTTAATGCCTTAAAAGTGCTATAAAGGCTAAAAAACAGCGGGAAAATACACGGCAAGTCGCCCGGACCACTGGACCTGGGCTACAGTTCAGCTTGCTAGCGCTGTGGTGGCTGTGGCTGATGCGGGATCCGTATTTTTGTTGCCTGCGTACTCTTCATTTAATAACTGTATTTAGAGTTGCATTTGGCCAGGTGATCTTGTCATGTGTAAATCATTAGAAATACAATTCCCGTTTGTTGCGCTTCGTCTTACTCTGTCTCATCTTGCTGCGGCGAGACGCTCTGAAGGTGCTCCGGCCTTCCCTCTCGTGAACCTGCTTGGTCCCTTCCTTGTTTGGTTCTCCCGAATTTTTCTGCATTTTCAAGAGGAGCGTCTCCGCTACAAGGCCCACAGCTGCCCTGCGCGCTTTCTGTCTTCGGTCGCTCCTCTCCGCTGTGCGTCATCAGGTCTCAAGCCTCAGCGGGTTTGATTCGGCTTTTGGCCCTAGCTTGTTGGCTTTTCTGGTGCGCGCAGTGTCTCTCGCATTTTATTAATACTCGCGTCAGCCCTTGGGTGTTATGGATAAGGCGAGGGCACAGCGCGCCTTTTCTTCCCTGTCTTATCTTTTTCGTCTGTTTCAAAATGAAGCCTCAAATCAGGACAGCAGCCCCAGCTGCTACGGACTCTGAAGATGTCACAACAGCAGCTCTCATCGACGGGTCCCCCGCGTCGGGGACCCACAGTGGTCCCTCCCCCGGCGCAGTAGCCCCGGCTGCAGTGGCGGCACCGGTAGCCGCAGCTGCAGCTGCAGCCGCAACCGAAGCAGTTGCGCTTTTGAGCCCAGGAGTCGCGGAAGTTCCCCAGGACTCTGGCACTCTTGGAGATTCAGGAGTTCCTGTGCAGGTGCTGCGCGTGCGTGGGCGAACAGATATGGACTACATATTGAGCTATGTTTCAGCTGCGTACAACTTGCAGTTTCGTTCGTTAGAGAAGCAGTGGGGCCGGGAAGCTACTATTAGCTCCGCCGACAATGAATATGTGCGGCAAGTGCAATCACAGCCAAGGCCTCTGAATGCGCCTCGTATGGCGCTGCTGCTGCTGTTCATGGTTGCCGTCTTCATCAGAGGCTGCACTTACTGGGGCTGGAACGGGATGCAGGACATGCTGTACAAGTCAGGAGCTTATGCCTGGCTGTGCGAAGAGGAGGGGGAGCCCCTGAGTTGGCAAACTGTCGGGTCTGTGGCCTACATAGACTGCCCCAGCCGCAAGAATTCCATTAATAATTTGTATACCTCAGCGTTCGCTGCTAACTTCATATTCTCGGCTGCTGGGGGCCTCATATTGGACCGCGTGGGGCCCAAGCTGACGCTTCTGGGCGCGATAGCGCTGGACGCCGTAGGCTGGGGTTTGCTTGCTGGGGCTTCGGACTCTTTTGTGTCGTACATCCCTGCTCTTGTTTTTATTGGGATGGCTGCCGACCCCGGTTATTTTTCCCTGCTGTGCGTCTCCAACTTATTCCCTCAAAGGGAATCGACGGTGCTTGGAGTGATGGGCTCCGTGCGTTCTCTCTCTTTCGCCATGCCTGTGATCATGGCTGAAGTCTACAAGAGTACATCTTTCGAGCCGGACGACTTGTGGAAAGTCCTATTGTTCTACATTTGTGTTGGCTTGGGAATTGCTTTGTTGGTTTGCATTATATTTACTCCCTGGCGCACATTCTGGGGAGCCGAGGACTTCAGAAATGAACACAGGAAAGCACAGGCAGAAAGCCTAAGAAAACAAACACTGAACAACCTGCCTCTGGCATTCTTCCAGCCTTGGCTTACTAATAGCGTTAGCTCCGCCAACCCTTCGACGATCGTCAGCAGCAGCAGCAGCAACAGCAACTGTCGATACAAGCTGGTGCTGACTCCGGAGGAGTACAACGAGGTGTATGGGGCTCTAGCGCGTGTGGAGTCGTCTCATTCACCCGTTGTCTCTGAGTCCTCTCTTTGCCGGGCTTTATCAGACCCGCGATTTTTGTTTTTGCTGCCAGTTTTCGTCGTCAATTTGTTGCGAGTTGAGTTTTACACGAAGTCTAACAAGGAACAGATGGCTCTGTCCGATGGCAGCAACCTCTATGCCTTGTTTTCAGCAATGAACATCCTATCTTTCATTCCGGGGCCCCTTATGGGGGTTCTGAGCGACCGTTATGGGGTGCTTTCTGTATTGGTATTCATTAATTTTGCGGGTATGCTCATGTACGCGCTGCTGCTACCAGAAAGCTTGGTAAGCAAGGGTTTCTCTGTTGTTTTCTTTTGGGTATATGCGTCCTTCGTGCTAAGCAGCATCTACTGCTACATTAAGGCCCAGTTCCCTAATAAGCTGTTCGGTTCGTTGGCGGGTTTATGCTCGCTTGTGGGCGGCTGCTTCGCCCTGACCAGCATCGGCTGGTACACCCTTTCGACGGACACCCTGGCCGACCTTGCACCCCGCAACTTTTGGGTAGTAGATTTGATTATGGTGGCAGGGGGTCTTCTCGTTTGTTGCGTGCTTGGGGTGCTTATTTATCTTGACAAGAAACAGAAAAAACAGAGAAAACACAACCGGCAGCTAGAGGTGGAGCAGCAGGAACAAGAGCTCCAGGAACGAGAAGACGTGGACAAGCACAGCGAAACAGAAAGTAAAGTGCGGATGCATGCACTCAGTGGTACTGGCAACGCACTCGACACACAGGACACTGTAGCTGAACTCAATGGAGCAACATCAGCGGCCGCCGCAGCAACTGCTGCAGCAGCAGCACCAACAATGCAAGTAGGAGGCTTCATAGAAGTCATGGGCGCACAGGAACGAGTTTAGAAGGCCCGGCAGCAGCATCTCAAGGGCCAGCAGCGAAGACGGCGGCAGCAGCATCAACAGCAACCTGCATACTATTCTTGCAGTTAACATCAACGGCCTCCGCACCAACTAATGGTGGAAAATTTTTAGCATAATATCTGGCAGTGCAGTTATGTATATTTATGCATATGTGTACATATGTTTATATAATTATATATCTGCAGCAACAGCAGCAAGGAACAGAACGAATGCTACAAGAGCGAATGCGAATACAGCGGAAGCTACGACCGTCGACTCATTGCATTCGTGTTTACACCTCGTGGCAGATGTGCAGGTGTATGCACGTCGATGCAAGTGTGCTGTGCCTGAACATTAACACTTATTCACACGTATATGCATATATGTGTATTTAAGAATACGTATAAATATATTGCAAAGTAGATGTGATTACATAAGGTGTGTGTTACATATATAATACATAATTTACTCTCATTATTTTAGCATTGTTGTAGACCCAGAGCATGTATGCACACTGAAGTGCGTAGGTGCGTTGTCAATCTGTCAAGACAGGTATGGCCTGGCCACATGCACACATGTACATAATAACCAAGCCCAATGAACTGAGTATGCATGCGTGCAAGCATATCTGCATTTGCAAACACCACCTTGCAGACGCCCCTCTGTCAAAGGCAGTTTTTGGGAGACCAAGTTGAAGTGGCGAGGGGCATCTGCAGAAGGGCTGAGAGGCCGCTCATTTTGCTCAAAGGACCTTCCGGGGCCCTACGGGCGCATTGGAGACACCATGCTTGCATACGCGTAACGCGCTTTATCGGGGCTGTTTAAGGTCTCCCACCTCCTGGGGTCCTCCCAGTGGTGAAGGGTCCCCTGACTGGGGCAGCTTCATTAGAATAGGGGTCTTCTTACACTTGGTCTCCCTTCGTTTGATATCAAGTGTAGAGATGTTCAGCTTGTTCATAGTGGCCGTAGAGTTCACCCAACACGACATTAGTGCATTGTTGCAATACTAGTTTTAACTCCGTTCTTGTACTGTACTGACTCCTACACAAGGGTCTGGAGAGCAATTGGCAACACAGATTAGCACTGGCAGTGGCAGCAAACGGCAGCGATGGGGGCTACTGAAGTAACGACGTTGCAATTTTCGGAACTCGAGAAGTTTGGAGTTGCCGCTTTTGTGGCCTTGTTTGCCTGTTCGTTAGCCTTCCGTCTTCGTCTCGTGCCGCTCGTTTGGTTGCCTCTTAACACGCAAGACTACCTTCGTTTTGACAGTGCGCGTAGAATATATGGCAAATGGCACGGCAGTAAATGCACTGCGACGAAGAAAATTGCTGATGATGTAATAATATTACTGGAGTGATATTGGAAGCGAATAAATTTTTAATAATGTGATAGTTAAGCAGTCTAGGTGGGCGCGCTGAGGAGAAACCAAAAACAGAAGTATCCGTCCCCCGAACAAAATTTTCAATTCTACAGTTTGTGCCTTCCTGTATTCGCCTTCTGGCTTTGTATACGAATATATTCATGGTAACACGAGGACATACGCACGCATGCGTAAATGTGGAGACGTCCATGTATGCATGTACAAGCAAACCCGCGCGCGCAAGCATATAAATATGCGTGTTGTATGTTTGCACAGTTGTAAACGCAAATGCTTGTATGTATTCTGCTGCCCATTCGTACATACACCCGTACATGCGTGTATGTCACACAGGTACATACAAAAGCACTTTGAATTTGAGCATGAACATAATTTTACGCTTTTACATACGTGCACATGATTGCGTAGCACAGTGTGTGTATGCTTCTATTCGTGTTTACGCGTAAACAGATGCGCACACGATCCAGACCTCACTATTCTTGCCGCTGCCATGAGGCCCTCATTTTGTTAATGACAGAGAAATCATTGAATTCTTTTGATTTGGCCCATTGGGTCTAGTTTGCTTGGCTTTCCTTCTTTTCCTTCTCAAGCTTAGCCGCCTCCCGCATTTCTTTCTTGCGCTGTCTCTCTTCTGCTGCCTTTTTCCGTGCTTCCATTTCCTTTTGTTTGTTTTTCTTTGCTTCCTCCTCTTTCTCTTTCGATACAGTGTAACCCTCAAGCAAGCCAACAGTCAAATTGAACACGGGGATGGCACCGGGCTCCCTGCGGTATTCCCTTGCATCCTTGAAGTACTCTGCAGTTTCGCTTGTTTTCATCTCATTTTCTGCCAGGACATATTCGCAGGGAGCGTCAGCAGTGAAGAAACCAAGACGCTCAAATTGTAAAGCGAACTGTGGGGGGAACAGCGACAGATCAGCCGCGTCAGCCTCCACAAAACCGCGGTAAACCTGAACAAAAACAGTCCAAACTCTACACCCTGGGCATTACACTCTAAGCATCAAAGCAGCATAAACCTCCTCTATACCAGTTCTAGGCCTTAGATGCAAAGATCGTACAAAAACGTTCATATAATAAGTTTGCCGAACCTGCACGTTTAACCTTCAGCGCAACTTACCACGAGAGAGTTGGTATTTATGTTGTCTCTCCAGCTGCCTTCTGGCTTGCTTGGATCTTCTTCCTCGGGGAAGGGCTTTGTGAAGAGGCGGTCGTAGAAACGCAGCTCAGCCCTGAGAGACAAGCAAGCAAGTCACAGCCAAGTGAATTTACGGCATACATCGCCGGCTTACATCGCCGTTAAGAACAGCACGAATTTAGCAGATATCATCGAAAGGAGCCTAATTAACCACCGGATTCTAGATCCTACACTAGACTGCCAGATTTCGAAACCCTAAACCCGTATACCCCTACACCTTAAGCTTACGGTACTGCGTATTTGGCAGGTAGCCAATGAATGGTTCCTTTGACCTTCCTGCCATCGGGAGCGACGGAACAGTTCAGGGTTTGAGGATCGTAGCTACAGATGATAGCTGTAATGTTACCGTTTGCGTCCTTCTCCACCTGCAGCCAAACAAACTCCTCAAACCCTCAGCCCTTCGTTCAACGACCCACATCCTGGGGAATCATCAAGTATGGCCGAGCAACGAACCGTATCTGAGACTTAGCCGTGAACTGTTACTACTCAGCAATCATACCCTCCCAATACTAGACATGCAAGCTTCCCGCTGGCAACCCCTAAACCCTGGAATATGTACCTCGTTGCATTTGATCCAATAAGCTGAGCGAAGTCGCACTTCTTTGCCAGGCGACAATCGGTGGAATTCTTTCGGTGGATTTTCCATGAAGTCTTCAGCGTCGATGTAAAGCTCATTGGTGAACGCCAGCTGTGCATGCACAGAATAATGTGGAAGGTACAGGTCAGCTTATTATGTAACTAATCAATCTTGTACGTGCAACTACAGCGAAACCACAAACAGTGCTCGAATGCACTAAGCAATTCCAAGATGGAACGTGTGCATAGAATGCAGTGGACGAAACGTGACTTCGCAAGATAAATCAATTGTTTGAGGCTTGGAGCAGTCAGAGCCTGGAGTTTAAGTGTGAAATTGGGTCTGCAGCTCAAGCCTGACCTGTCTGCTGCCTGCTGCGGGTCTCTTGGGATCGCTTGGGATTGTCAAAATTTCCTCCGCACCAAAGTTTGTAATTTTAACCAGCAGCGGCTGCTTCACGGCGAAGCGGCGCGGTGCCCTCTCGTCAAGGTATTCTCTGCATACATACTCGCATGCAGCTATGTACTATTCCAAGTACACAAGAATTAACGGCGAGACACGATCTAATGTCTACACCTTGGACTCCAAAGCCTCAACCTGCGTTGCCCTTGAGAGCCTCGAAGCCCACAGATTAACTTATGCGTTTCTCAAGAAACTAATTCTACAGTATTGAGCTCTTTTATTGAAGGCTTTATCCCTGTCTACAGAATTTTGGACCGTTAAAAGCAGCCTGCTGCGCCACGCTACTTATTCATTGAACGCTGCTGCGTAAGCTCTGAATCCTCAGCCTCAATGCCTCACTAACCGAATGCATCTTTCGAGAAGTTCAATTTGAATTGTTGAGGGCCTCCGTGCCACTCCAACTCTTTCGCAGAAATCTCGAATGGCAGCTGGAGGTACACCTCGGCGACGTAGGGCAGAAAGGGTCGACAGACGGGGGTCATCCCAACCAGCCACTACCTTCTCATTTACCAAAGCCAATAGTTTGCTGAACCGACAAACGCAGTCATTGGTCGAAGCGTCGATTCAAAAATGTGTCGGCAATTCGGTTTGCGCCCTACTATTAAAAAGCAAGTGAACACCAATGACGAAAACACAGCATTTCACTACACTGTAAGAATGGAGCAGCAGCGGCCTCTGTTGTTTTGGGATGATCCTGAACAAGCCTCAGAACGTGAATGCTCACCGTTTGCTCATGACGGTATATGTGACATTAAGCCTTGCGAATTCAATCTGTCTTGTCCTTGTAATCCCAAGAGCCTCTTGAAACCAGTCATACAGCTGTCTGTTTAGATCGAACTCTAAAGTGCAGATCGAATGAGTTATCTTTTCTATTGAATCGCTCTGGCCGTGCGCATAGTCATACATAGGGTATATCACCCACTTATTTCCTGCAACGAAGCAAAACCCGAAGCCCTAGACTAATCATCATGAACAAAGGGCGGATCAAGCAGTCAGTTTCCTCTGCAAAACTCGAATTTCAATTGCAAAGCCCTAGCCCTAACATTCTACAGGGCCCGAAATACCCAATCTCTGGCGCAGAAAACAGCAGAGAACACAAACTCTTGACTGCCGAGTCTCAGGACTAAAACCTGTCTGACCTGTGCGTGGATGTTCCTTCTTGAGAATGCGGTACATGATCGGGTCCCTCATGACCACGTTTTTGTGGGCCATGTCTATCTTGGCCCGCAACACGCACTGGCCCTCCTCGTACTCCCCATCACGCATCCTGTACAAACCCCAGAAGTCTGAAGCCTCAGAACGAAGTGACTCGCTAGGCATTACATTGGAAACAGCAAACCCTAATTCCCTATGCTACACCTTAAAAGCCAAAACATATTTCCGCCCCCCGCAGCCCACAATGGACATCGAAAACTCAAAACGCTGAACAGAAGATGGATATTTACTTTCGGAAATGCATTAGGTTTTCTTCGATAGTGAACTTGTTCCTGTATGGGCTGTCCTCTCCCGGCTCGGTAATGCTGCCTCTCTTTCTCCGTATCTCCTCCAGAGAATCGAAGTCGACGAAAGCTAGGCCCTTTTCAATTAACTGCTCAGCCCAACTGTACAGCTGAGGGAAATAATCTGAGGCGTGGTACAGGTGGTTTCCCCAGTCGCCACCCAGCCACCTCACGTCGCGCAGGATTGACTCGATGTATCTGAAGCGGAGAGCATGACAAGATGAATTAAACATAATGTTCAACGGGACTCTATAACTGGTCAAATTGCTGCAGCTGAAGGAAACTGTTGGTTGTTTCATTGATTTCAGAGAGTAGCACGGAATATGCAAAGGTTCTGTGTGCAAACCCATGCCACAAAAGTGTTGCGAAGCCAAGCATGCACTAAAAGTGGAGAAGCAACTGAATGGAATCAACAAAGCCGAACGGCAAACAAGTATTGCCCGCAACTAACAAGTTGCCATCGAATCAATATCACTGAGGCCTGGATCATGAGCCGTTGGCTGCAGCGGTGGAGCCCACAGCGCTGACCTTGTTTCTTCTTTTGTAGGATTTGTATCATCAAATCTCATGTGGCATCTGCCGTTGAACTTCGCCGCGAGACCAAAATTGATGCAAATCGACTTCGCGTGACCCAGATGGAGGAAGCCATTGGGCTCGGGAGGGAATCGGGTGACTATAGACTTGTGCTTGCCCGAGGCCAGATCTTGTTGCATTATCTGAGACAGGAAGTTTACAGGGACATCGCTGCCGGAAGCCGCTCCCCCTGCTGCAGCGGCAGAATCAGGGGATGGCACCTCGTTAGATTTCGCCATTCTGCATAGGAAAGGACGGCGAGGGTCGTGAGCGGAAAAGGACGAAACTGAGAGCCGCAGAAACGGGTCTAAGATGGGAAATATAGGACTGTCCTTGACGTCGGCGCGGCTTATGGCCCAACGGAATGCTCCAAATCGCATAAACAAATCAAATGTAGTCTGAAACTGCTATAAAAAAGCCCCGGTGGGACCAAGACCCCGCAAAGGGACGCAAGGAGCAAGCTACTGCGAATCGACAGAAACTGCCTATGTTGTTGCCCCTGCGGAAGCAGCAACTTGTCTGCAAACTGGGCAGAAAAAAAGAGCAGCAAAAATAATATGATTGGATGAATCAGAATAATTTGATTAAATATATACTTCAGGATTTTCGTCGGCTGAGCGCTGCTAAGCAAACGACAGGCCGCCAGCAGCAGCCCAAAAGAGAGCCCCACAACAAACAGCCCCAGCTGGTCCCCAGTTCTAATCTTTCACGATTAAACATAAAAGCACACATGAGAGTAAAAACGTAACTCATTAATTGCTGCTGTCCCTATCATGCGGAGCTTTCGCTTTATCTACGCAGTAGGGATGAGCCAGCCTCCCGTCTCGACAGTATTCTTTCCTGCGCGTGTTTATCTCTCTTTTTTGCTTGGGATTATTCCCCTAGGCGCACAACTCAGAAGTATGCACAAATATATGAACAAAGCTCAACATAAGAAATAGCATTAATCACACACGAAAAGAATTTAGGAGACAGGAAGAGGACAAACGTAGGTTTGAGCTCGTGACTGCTTCCTGGAATTTTTGGGACTCGCTTCATTCGTTAATTTCCCCTCTAAGTTTATTAAAAAAAGGAATACAGATAAGCGACCCCACGCGTTCCACTTCGACACAAGGCTAGGGTTTACTACGCAGTCCCCCTCCAGCGGTCCCTCTGCAAGGATATATTAGAAGCTGTATATAGGCATAGCGTGGTGTGGCTAGCCCCACATTTCAGGGGCGCTCCAGCTGCAGCAGCTTTTGAAGGGATCGAAACTATAAAAGCCCCCAGCTCTCGCTGGAAAGTAAACTGTGCCAAACGGATTCAAACGAACTCTAATATTCAACCTGTTTCGGAACGACCCAAATACCGCACCAGTCAAACGAAAAGGGGGCAACTACCAGTGAGGCTCTTAAGCTTGTCATTGAAACTTTCGCCTTCTGGTGCAGCAGTAGCTGCAGCTGCAGCAACTGCAGTGACAGCCCTCGCTTCAGATTTTTGTGAGCGGCTCAAGTCAGCAGATGGCCTCACTTTCACATTCAGCTGCCTCCCTAGCCCGTCTTCCAGCCACAAAAGCACCAGGCAAGACGACTCTCTAGAGGAGTCGCCGTCAGAAACTCCAGTGCATGCACAGGCAACCGTTTTGCAGCTATAAGCAACGTGAGGCCAACACAGGTCAGCAAGTACACAGATCCACGGCAAGAGATGTGAGCGCGCAATGTTCAAGTGCAGCCTCACTCACACCATGTTAAAGCCGCAGTTGTAAGTGCTGTTGCAGGGGTTGCCGCTGTTGCTGCTGCTGTCTGTCCAGCAGATGGTAGTATGGCTTGCAGCTTCACATTATCTTTATCCAAGACACCTGTCATCCCAAAGAACTTATTGCGGGGGTCCTAGCTGGGCCTAGAGGCACTAACCGCCAATCACATGCATAACGGTTCGGTGACCCCTGATGCACTTTTGGACCTTCACCCTACAGCAACAGGTTCCAGAATACAGCTCTGAAATCCCCCAAGCGGAACTCACGCAGCGAAAACGCACCTCACCTAGCCAAATTGACCAAAGGGACCCTCTGGGCAAACCCTCTGGAGGGTACTTAAAGGTGTTTCTTGTAGTTTGCCTGCACTGTAGGCCGTAGGTCCCGCTAAGGCGCCTTTTGCGTCTTTGCAGTTGTGTAAGAGCCCTCGTCTAACACTCCTAAAAAAGCACCTCCAACACCAAAATAGAAGCCCTGCGGCACCCGCTCGCAAGCCGTCAGCATTTTGTTGGGAGCCGCATGAGTCCTCCATGATAGAGTCGCTCTGCATGTTATTCATCTTTAGGGCACTCGGGCTCCTCCTTGTCTAGTTCCTTTAAGAGACGTTTGTTTCTCCTTATGGACAGTCTTCAGGCCCTGTTATACAACCGTGTGTCTTGCATGCGTATTTTGGTGTCAGTTGAATGCACACCGATACTCTGGGCTGTAGGAAAGATTTTTTTCAAGGCCGCTTTCTTCGAGGCCTCAATATGACTTGTGAGATGACTGAAAGAGAATTTAAACTTTACAGCTGAGGGCTGATCAAGGCTTTTACCCTTCATGATAGCCCAGACTCCTTCTCGGTTCCAATGGCAAAAATTACAAGCTTTCGCAATTCCCGACGTTGCGTATGCAGAACTCAGTGTTAAGACTTGAAGCTTCTGGTGTTACGGAGTTTATTAGAATTCATTTTGTCCAGGTATCCTTTGGTCAACAGCAGGAAGCAGGGCTCGTAGATTTCGCCTTCAGAGTGTCACTGCAGCCCGAAGCCCTCCGAAGCTTCAATAGCAATGGTTAATAGTCTCTGCAGCTTCTCCTTGGTCCCATACTCGGGAAGAAGAAACGTACAAAAGCATGTGAAGGAGGTCGGAAGACGCTCTGTGGGCTCTCCGCCATTTTTCTGAATTGTCATTCGCAGCTCAGATAGGCCGAAAGCAGGCGACCGTTCGCTACCTGTAACGCAAGTACAGTAAAGAGCAAGCCCTGAGCCTCTGACACTTTGGATAGCCATCATGGTCATAAAGCAACGACAAAACCACGAGCAGTCATGAACAGCCAAGAACAGCTCGTAAGCTCTAAATGCCAAATCTATTCTGGGTGGTTAAAGCAATGGATCCAAAAAACAAAAGGTCCCTCCTAACAGAGGGCTTCAAATGTATGTTCAACCAACGCAAACACTGAATTCTATATCCAAGCCCTACGACGAAAGCAGGTGTTACGGTTAAGCCGAGCAGGAAAGAGCATCTTCGCTTTTTACACAGTTGCGTTTGAGTATTCAGGCGTGTTAGGTTAAGGGTTTGTAATCACCTGAAACAAATTTGAGGAAATTTTGCTTTTGAAAAGTGTCGAAAGAGAAGAGAATATCCCACAGTGACTTTATGTACGGAGAGTCCGGAGAGTAGCCCTCGTACCTATACAAGGCAAAAGCCCACCGTGTAGTCCAGCTTCTTCGCGCTCAGCCCGAAAAACCAGCGAATAGAATCAGGCTACGCTTATTCTCCCATTCAGAGTTCGTCAGCTGCGGTCCGTTGCTACCCTTCCACCCTCAGCACTATCCCCGCAAATCGCAAACCCTGAACCCAAAACCCTAAATCCCAAACCTCACCTGCAAGAGGCCTTCAGGTCCTCGAAGTTGAGCTCTGGTGTACCGCAGAGGAGGAGCTGCAGCTCGGGACCAGTGAGGCTGGAGAGGAGCGGCGAGGCAATCAGCTGGAAACCCTTTTTGAAATATGAAAACTGAACTCAAAGGAGGACGAGCAAGTGAACAATGATTAAGACAAAGAGTTTTGGTAGAAACGGGCAAAGTGGAACGGCTGCACGGACACAAGTGAGTTAACTGAATGCACTGGGACAAGATCTACACAAATAGGTGAAAATGAGTATAGAAGACTGGCAAGTATAATACCATTTACAAAATACTGGAATTGCCACTAAAACAACTATACCAATAAGCAGTTCAGTTTCGTGTGTGTGCACAACAAACCTGTGACTTTACAGAATCCACCAACAAGTACTTGGCATACAAATTGACGAATTCATTTCTGTTTTCGATGGTTAGTGGAATCGACGCTCCATCGGGCTTGAGCGGCACCTGCACGCGTCGCCCATCCCCTTGCTCCACGTCAACGCAAAAGGCCATGCCTTCAAATGCGTTCTGAATTGCAAACCCCCAAAACAAATCCCTAAACCCTAAAAATCCTAAACCCTTGAAGCCGGGCTCGCAACACCACAATACATAGCAGGAAAGCGGAATCAAGGGCCAAATTAGCAGCAGATATAAAGGGAAATTCTGCAACGGCACATGGCTGACAAAAGGTGCTCTCGAAACGACACTACAAACCCTCACCATAAACCGTAAATCCTCAAACCTACATTGAAATCTGTCTCGTTGTCGATTTCCAATAGCTTCTCGAAGCTGTTCAGTTCGTCGGGGAACACGTCGCTGGAGAAAGCACAGGACGAAAGAAACGCAAACCCTAAACCCTCAACCCTGAGTGCTAAGACAACAATCCAAGCGCTGATCTTTGAAACGAATTCCTAAGACTATTTTCCGTCTCCCTTACGCGGTGTAAACTTTATACTTTAGTTGGGCAAGCCTGGCTACATTCTGCGGCCCTAAGCTTTGCATGCAAACTTTGAAACTTCATGCTCAGCCCTAAACCCTAAATCCTAAGCCCTCCCTATCTCACCTCAGATCTTCTAGTGCCACGTCCTCCCCTTGGAGTTGCTTGTACACCTGAAATTCAAAAATGAAACAGCTTTCACGAATGTGAAGCCTAAAGCCCAAACCCTAAGCCCTAGGTTGTAAACCCTAAGGCCTACGTCACAAACCCTAGGCCTGACAAGAAGTATGCACAAACAACCCTTATCAACCACTTCTCATTCTACAATTTCCCCAGCTCTAAAAGATGTCACCTCTGCAAAAGCGCCCGCACCCCTTACAGCAGCAGCAAATATGACGACAGGAAGGGAAAGAGCAGCAACTGCAGCAGCAGCAGCAGTGGCAGCAGCGAGGGCAGCAGTTGTCTTCATAGCATCTCACAACAATGGGCAGACTCAGTGGCATCAGGATGTCGTTATAGACCGCCATAGATGCAAGAAGACCCGTAAGCCAATACTCCTTGGCCTTGCCTTCAGGGATTAACTCGCTACTGTCGTTGTTGCTGCTGCTGCTGCTGTCCTGGTCCGAGGAGGCAGGGGCCCCCGCTGGCTTTTCTTCGGGATTAGGAGAACCTTCTGCTGCAGAAGTTGCGGAATCTGCTGCAGCTGCAGCAGCGGGCTTCGCTGCAGCTGGCTCTGAGTCTGCTGCTGCTGCTGTAGAAGCATCTTCTCGTTTGTCCTGAGAGCCTAGTGGCTCTTCTTGCTGCTTAAACCACAGTGTACGTACACCCGAGTGGTACGTGAAGAGACCGCGCGAAGCAGAGAACAACTCCCGAGTTAACAACTGCAGCACGAAGGGACAAACAGGAAAGGAAAAAGAAAGCTACAGGGGAAACAAAGACAAACAGTAGATACGCAAAAAGAAGAATAAAATGTAGGGCAAAATGAACAGATGCAAGAAACACTGCAAACACGTCACGCATGTGCGCAAGGTGTTCAGAAACCACAGCAAAAAAACCGGCTCTCAACTATAAAAGAGATGGTGAGCCACAACAACAATTAGCATACAGAAGTGACAAGAGGGCAGACGAAGACGGGAAACAAGACTGACGAGGTGGAAGAAGTGCAAACAGTCATCAAAAGCAGAAACACAAACACCAGACCTTACGAAAATGCAACTACTTGAAAGTAGGCAATCACAAAGTGGGCATGCACTATGTATACAATTACATGCAGGTAGATGCATAATTATGCATAGAGAAAACATCAGTTGAAAGCTTGTTTCCTCATCTTACCGAAAAGAATTCCCTCCGTAGTCCTCCTTCATCGACTCCCTCCTCCCCCTCAAATATGACCTTGAGGGGCCTCAGGAGGTCCCTGGGATCGTTCGATCCAAGGAGCTTGCATGCATCTTCAATTAGGTGACTGCGCCGGACCCTCAAAATCAAGAAGGGGAGTTTGGTGTCCAATAAGGACTGAAGGGAGGTGTGGTGCTGGTGATAGACGTTGTCTACTAGCAGTACCTGGAGAACAAAGAGAAAGGAGAGTGAATAAGTTTATTTTTTGGCAGGATGACGAGCAGACACAAGAGCTGGCCGATTTACTGAAGTGCTTCTACTTGAAACTGAAGCGGCTCGAGCTGGCCTCGGTGCAGAACAATGCTTCAACTTTGTTTAATTTTTCATTTGAAACACAAGTGTCTACTAAATTGTACTACAGATTATAGATCAGAGGAGTTCGCATACAATTTTTAGTGTGAAGCGCGCAGAAAAGTAAATAAGCAAACATATTTGCCCGCCCATTTGATGCGGGTAGGCTCAAGGCCCTCTTAGGGTACTGAAACCACTGGCTTCAATAGGCACTAAATACATAAAACATTTCCATGAACAAAACATTTATGTGAATCAGAAGAGTTGCTGTAGATCCTACATAAATACGTATATGCACACCTGTGTAGATAGAAAAATATAATTTTTGGCGTACTTAAAAAATAAACCCGAGAGTAAAACACATGATCTTCAGCGAGACTAAGCAGACGCGTGACACTTCTTTGGGGCAAATGCATGCAATGTGTTGTGCCTTGGAGTTTAAAATTCCATAAATGAACTCCACTTGACTTACATTCCTCTTAAAGGAAAGAGGACAGAGATTTAAATGGGCAATGAACAGAGACCACCGCGACTGCAACTCGCAACTCCCTATGACGTCCCGCTCCAAGTCGAACAAACGCACTGCTGCAGCAAAACCCAAAGGCACCAAACCCCAAACCCTTAAGTCTAAACCCTTAGTCACATTCTGAATAGGCTGGAGACGCAAAGACAAAGACAACAGTCATGCGAACTCAGGTGCTCACTGGCAGCAGTTAACTGCAGCAAACAGCCCAGCTAGCCGTCCAGTCAGCCTCTGATCTAATTGAGCAAATTAAGTAGCAGCTGGCAAGCTAGTAAATTGCGCTTCGGAGCTACTGAGAAACATTTATTACTTCAAATGTTCAAGTTACTATTTACATATCTATTAACTTGCGTGCCTACGTCGCCGCTTATCATGCTAGCAAATGAGCTAGGTACACGTTGGCTAGCTACCTATCTAGCTAACTGGCTACTGACGAGTTCCCATCTCACCAATTTGCCTTTGTGTTTTGTCCTGAGTCGCTCTCGGGGCCATCTCTACATAAGCTCCGACTTCCTTAATAGGGTCTACCAGGGTGCCAATTTCTTTGACTTGAAACTTATCGATGGGAATCTTGGTGTCTGCTGCTCCCTGCAGCAGCACGCGGCGGTTGCTGCTGCAGTTTGCCCGATACAGCAGCTGCAGCAAAGCCACGCAGTGCCACACGCGATCCACAATGCGGTAGCGAGAGCCAGAGGCCGCGAGCGACAAAGAAAGAAAGCCGCAAGCAGGGGCAACCAGAGCCGTCCTGAGAGAGAAAAAGCAAAGCAAATAAACAAAAAGTACTAAATTAGTTCATTTAAATATACATGTACAGTGCGCTATGTAAATATATTGGCATACGATTCTCTAACTATGTGACCAACAGTGCACTAGTTAGGGTCTTAGTGAAGAAAGAGAACGAGAAGGCACTTGGGCTGGAGGCTGTGAAGTAAAGAGGCAAAGATAATGCAAAAGGAAATGGATACAGTCGCAGACACAGAGGAGACGGGGGATACAGAAGCCAAAAAAAGGGGAATACAAAAGCAAGTAAAGAGTCTTGAGGAGCACAAGGATATGAACAGGCTCCAAGACAAGAGCAAAGGCAGCCACTGAAGTAGCAACAAAACACTGGAGACAAATCGCCGGGGAGCTTCCGTGGATTTAATTAATTTTCTACTTTTCATCTAATTTGTGTGGCGCCTCACTCAAACAATGAGTCCGGGAATTCCATCGCAAGCCTCAAAAAGCTTTTCTTTCCATCCGCCGGCAAATGAAACAGCAGGTGCAGCACTGCGGTGTACAGCATCTCTCCCCGCTGCTTCAGCTGCTGCTGCTCTTGCTGCTGCTGCTGCTGCTGGTTGCCGGCCGTGTCTGAGGCCATGGCTTCAGGCTCGTCATTCCCGCGGGGGGCCCCCTCGGCCCCTCCCTGCGTGCCCTTTTGGGGGCCCCCCTTGGAGCCCTCGCTGAAGCTGGCGTAGACAGGCGTGCATGCAAGTATGAGCAGAATGAACTTGACTTGGTCGGGCCTCTTGAGGTGCTGCGCCATTTTGATGCTGTTGGTAATTACACTTGAGAAGCAGTGGCAAACCAGGGGCAGCATCTGCTGCGGGAGCTGCTTATAGACTGCAGCAATTCCCTCAAAGTCCGGTAGACTCCCGTGGCCAGGATAGACAAAAGAAGAATTGAGACGAAAGACATCACTGAAAACTTTCGAAATGACTGTCTTCAGCTGGCTGCTGTCGCCCGTGCTGCGGGCCCCCTCAATGTACCCCAGGGCCTCTTCTACAGAAAGCCCCGACATGCAAAAAAGAGAAAGATCCACGCTGCAGCTTTCTTGTCGAGACAAAGACCGGTCCGCAGCCCCGAGGGGGCCCCCCGGGCCCTCGAAGCCCACCAAGCTGCTTTCCCCGCGGCTGAGCGTGAGCAGCCGCTGCAGCGGCAGCTGCGCAGCAGCAGCAGTGCCGGCTGCTGCAGCAGCAGCAGGAGAGGGCGGCTGAGGAGACAAAGAAAAAGAAGCAGACAGCTTCCGCTGCTCCCAACCTACTGAAGAACGCGACCGACACAGCACTTTCTTGCAAAGCTGCTCTATGGCTGGCGAAGGGGCTCTGTCTTTTTCTTTTGTGGGGTCGGAGTCAGTCTGCGGCGTCTCCACAGCAGCAGCAAATGCTGTGAAGGGCCCCGCAGCAATCAAATAAAAATACAGCTGCTGAATCGGGGGGCCCCCAGGAGGAAGCCACAGCGGCTGCGGCTCATACGTGCAGGGCCTCGGGGGGGGCCCCTCCTCCCCCAGAAAAGGAGACAGTGCGAAATTCGTGTCCGGAGAGACACCCAGTTGGTTCAAATTGTTTAGACCCCAAGTGAAGACGCGGCCCTGAAGGAAAGTTTAATTCAAAACGTAAAATGCAACTGAAATGGAAACTGAAACGCAAATATCCCAATTCAAATGCAAAATTGCATTTCAACTAAAAATTAACTGCGCAATTTAATTTAATTTTTAAAGTTAAATTTAAAATTGAATTCGAACGGAATTTCAATTTAATTTCAAATAAACAAAGGGACAGGCAAAGAAGCAGCGATAGCAGCAGCAACAGACACTGCCACGCAGCAAGATGCGGTCTATCCACAGACAAGAAAAAAAGACGAAAAGAATACAAAAAGACGCTCTTAGAAGAATAAAAATGAGCAGCCGTTCAATGATACAGGCAAATCTATAGATACACGCACAGACAAAAAAAAGGATAGGCGCCATGTAGTAAGCTGGCAGCCACGAGTAGGAAAAGAACAATAGACAAAGCATAAAGAGGCTGAGAAAAATGGCTTGTGCTAAATGCATGCAAAGAGGGAAAAGATCTGATAAGTGGCGAAAATAGAGGAAAATAAAAGTTGCCAGAAGACAAATTGGCAAAAAGTGCCAAAAAGCCCATATGCATCAATGTGTTTGCGGGCCTCTGCATTAATGCATATCTATACTTTAACCCATGGACCCCCATTATATATAAATACATATATATATATTTATACATTTATAAACGTGCTTTACCCAGAAACGTATACATTAATAGTATACATATGCATTCATGCTGCATGAACGTGTATGTGTACATATATACAAATGCGGACAATGCTTCGCGTTTCTCCCGAAGTTTGTAAGAGCCCAATGAAACGGGATTTAGGGCTTAGGGTTTAGGGTTTATGAGAGCAATTTGGGGAAAGTGCTTCCCAAGTGCTGCGAAAGGCTTACTTTTCGGGTGAGGGCCATGGAGAAATGCGTGCCAAGAGCTGCGAGTTTGATTTTGTGGTTCTGCAAAGAGCGAACTAGAAGAAAGCGGGAGCTCCAGGAGACGGGGGGGCTCTGCGTGCTGTCCCGCGGGAGGCGGGATCGGGAGGCGGGATCGCACCCCACAGGGAACCCCAACTCCCCATAACTGTTGCTGCCGCACAAATATAATAACCCCCCAGACACCAGCAGCCCTGAGTGGCTGGCGCTGGCGAAGACTGCGCGGGCCCGCAGAGAGAGCCGCACAAGTTGTGGGGTGGAGACCTGCAGAGCAAAAACCCCAAATTCAACTCCAACTCCACTCCAAATCCCGAATTTCAAACCCCAAGATGCGAAATGTGCAGCAGAAGCTGGCGCTTTCAACAGCGGGCTGTGCAGCTGGCCAAAATGGGGAAAAAGCGGGAAAAAAGTCGAAGTTTTGAGTCTAAAATGATCCAAAACTCACTTGTTTTACTTCGTCATAAGCCTCGCCAAGACCCAAACGGCCCCACTTGTTCGAACCCCAAGAGAAGACCTCGCCGCTGATGCTCAGCGCCAGGACGTGCTCGTCGCTAGCCGCCACCTGCAGCAAACCCTAAACCCTAAACCCTAAACTCTTTACCCTAAACCCTTAACTTTAAAGCCTAAAACCAAAGCCCTGAACACTAAACCCTAAGCCCTAAGAGCTAACAGCAGCTGTTGCCATCCTGTGGAGGCAAAGGCAGCTCCAGCAAGCAAAAGAGAAAATAGAAAAGGACAAATTCAGTAGCATGCATGCCCCAAAACACGCATGCACTCACAGAAAAAGGAAAAAGACAAAGAGAGACAAGAGCCAGAAAGCTTGAAAGAAGAAAAAGAAGTAAAGGGAAAGTGCAAACAGAAACAATACTTTGAGCTGCATGTTACCTGCTTTATTGGCAAGCCAAAGAGAGCGCTGACAGGACGGAGTAACGGCTCCACTCTGAGAAAAGACAAAAAAATAGTAAACACGAAAACGATAAATAAAATTAAACAATTAGTAGCGGCGAACAGATGCAGAGGGACAAAAACACGGATAATCATGAGTACATTCCCTTAAACATTTCTCTGCATATGAATGGACTGCAAATATGTGGGCAAGGACACATAATTACAGTTATATACATATAAGCACAAGCACATGTGCATTAATGCATGCATGCGTGCATGCATGCGTGCATGCATGCGTGCATGCATGCGTGCATGCATGCGTGCATGCATGCGTGCATGCATGCATGCATGCATGAAGGGATATAAGCAGTTACTTGAGCAGGCCGGACGTGCACTTCTGGTGTGCATACAATACGCCAGGCATGCCTGTGTATATGCTGGAGCGTATATTAGCATGCATGCGCACTATAAAAGTAATATTTGAATATAATTTAAATGCAAAAACATATTTTTGAATATAATTTAAATGCAAAAACATATTTTTTGTTGCGGCAGCGGCTCACTGCTGCGTCCGCTCAGTGCCCATGCCCAGGCAGCCAAAAGGCGAAAGCCCACAGCCCAGCAGCATTCCTGTGTCTGAGAGCAGCAGCGAATAGCCGGAGCCACAGGCTGCCTGCCGAAGCCTCACTTGCTGCGCAAAAAGCACAAACCCCAAACCCTAAACCCTAAACCCTAAACCCTAGCGCTGCTTGGAAGGCTACTCCAGGCCCTCAAAACTTTAACCAAAAGCCTGCACCTTTGGTGTACATACACCGCAAACGATAAACAACAGACCCTAGACTCTTAGCCACAAACAAAAACAGCCCCACAAACCCTAAACCCTAAACCCTGAAGTGCATGCGGCCTCCACCGTAGTTAAAACCTGCTAAAGGGGTATATATAATTATCAATAGTTAGCCCCCGATTTACCTGTCCCTGAAGCTGAGGAATAGACCTGTCTATTTGCATTGCTTGCGGGTTGAAATGGTTAAGAGATAAAACTGAAGCGCCTCGGCCCAGCTGGCCGAATTCGTTGCTGCCGAAAGCAATGGCAGCTGTACATACACCGCAGAAACACCAAGCAAAAGCGGATACCGGAAGCAATGGCAGCTGTACATACACCGCAGAAACACCGAACGAAAACAGATAAAGACGCTATGTTTCTTAATGGCAGTTGATTTAATTTTGTTTCTAGTTTCTCCCGTTCGTTCTTTTGAAGCTTCCACAGCGCAGCCAAGAATGCAACAGCAGCTGTACATACACCTCCTCCAAATCGCTGCTATTAATCTAGTTCCTTCGGCAGCTGATTAAATTAATACTTTTGCTTTTTTGGTGCCGCTAAGGGCATGCATGCAGGATCAAAGAGACAGAGACAGCGAAGCAACAAAAATAAAAAGAAAGAAAGAAAGGATCTCCTGAAGAACGTGAAGAGAAGTCAAACAGAACAAACAGAAAAGCTGCAGCAAGTAAAGACGAAGTGGGGCCAGGAGCCACGAAGAGCCCCAGGGCCCAGAGCAGCAGCAAAAGAAAAAGACAGAGAGAAAACGCGAAGCAAAAAGAGCAGCAGCCACCAACCCCGCGCTCCCCGCAGCAACAGCAGCAGCAGCAGCAGCAGCAGCAGCAGCAGCAGCAGCAGCAGCAGCAGCGGCCTCACAGCCTGTGTCGAGGACTGCGATGGTGTGGCAAGCAGCAGCAGCAACGGAAACAGCGCCGCGAATGCCTTCGCAAAGTCGCGGCCTTTTGATGAACTTGTCGCCGTCGATGTCTATACACCCGAACTCATTCAAACCCCCACCCCACACGCTCTGTCTTCCGTCCCAAAGCCAAGTGCGGTCGAGGCCCAAACAGCAGCCGCAAATGGTTTTGTTTTCCAGTTTAGAGATCAGTCTGGGGGGCCCCCCCGCTGCTGCTGCTGCTGCTGCTGCTGCTGCTGCTGCTGCTGCGGGCTCCGGCTTCGTGTCTGCTGCTTCTGCTTCCTGCTGCTCCCTCCCTGCTGCAGCAGACAGCAGCTGCCCGCAGTCGTTCAAACCCCACAAGTATATTTGAAAGTGCGGAGAAATCGAAAAAGAATCCGAGCCTTGTGCATGCAGCGAGAGGCACAAGCTGCTTTCTCGGTTGAAGTTTGCTGCTGCTGCTGCGAGGGCCGGGCTCGCTGCTGCTGCTGCTGCTGCTGCTGCTGCTGCTGCTGGCGCTGCTGCGGAAGCTGCTGCTGAAGCTGCTGCTGCTGTCGGCGACTCCCCACACTGCGGCGAAGCAGAACGCTGCGTAGCAGCACGAGTCAGTGTTGCAGCAGCAAGCGGCTGCGCAGAGGACTCTTTTGCTGCTGTTGCTGCTGCTACTGCTGCTGCAACTTCTGCAGGCGGCAAGCTGCTGCTGCTGCTGCTCAGAATGTTCTTCGTGTGCGCCAGCGGCTGCTGCTGCTGCTGCTCTGTCCGCGTCCGCTGCTGATGCTGATGAGCTGCTTCCGAATCCAAGAGAGCATCCGCTGGACGCAGGCTTACCGCTTCAGCCAGCTGCAGCTGCTGCTGCTGCTCCGGATCCTGGGGCTGCTGCTGCTGCTGCTGCTCATTTTGCTGCTGCTGCTGCTGCTGACGCCTGTGGCGGTGCAGTGGCCAGAGGCAACCCGACAGATGCAGCGGCATCGCTGCAGCAGCCTCTCTTAGGCTGCAGCGGCAACAGCAAAGCCTGCTGCTTCTGTTGCTGCTTCTCCTGCTGCTTCTCCAGCTGCTTTGGCTGCTGCTTCTGCTGCTGCTGCTGCAGGTAGACCGCTGCTCCTGCGGCTGCAGCTGCAGCTGTGGCTGCGGCGGTGTGGCTGCTGCCACTGCTGCTGCTGCTGACTCTGCTGAAGCCGTGAGATGTCAAGGCTGCGGGTACGGCGGCTGGAACGGGTGCTTCTGCTGTGAAGCTGCTGCTGCTGCTGCTGCAGCAACTGCTGCTGCTCAGTCTCGAGTGAGGCGAGGTGGCAAGGGCTGTTGGTTGGAGTTCATCTGCTGCTGTCTCCTAAGCGCCGATTCAACGAAAAGAAAACGAAGAAGATCGAGAGGGCTCGCTTTTCGGTTCAGTTGGAAAGTGCAGCAGCCGCTGCTGCTGCTGCTGCTGTCGATGGCGATACCAGCCAGGCTGCCGCTGACCTGTACCTCGAGTAATACCTACTCAGAAAGTTTACATTTGATCTGATATTATTTGTTTTCAATTTTTAAATTTATTTACCAACTAGATTCCAGGGAAAACTCGATATCCAGGGGGTGATGGGCAGCTCGTGGCGGGACCGCCAGGCGAGGCGCCGCCGCGGCTGGTTGTTTGTTTGCGTTTCGGGTGAAGAAGACGTACTCAGGAGAGCATTTGAATAAATATTAATGGCAAAAAGAGTCAAAAATGGACAAAATCAGCTTGATGGCGCTGCAGCTCGAGAAACAGCACCGAAACGCTGCTGCTGGCTTCTCAGCTGTTCGTATGCATCGCAGTGAAGACTAGATCTCCTCCCGCGCCTAACCTGCCGCTCCTTCGGCGAATTTAAAATCCAATTTCATTTATTTAAATTAATTCAAGTGCTAATTACCGAGATACTCGAAACGCCGCGGCTTCTGGATGTGCGTGCGCTGCAGCGCCTCGCGACAACCCCCACACACGGCTATTCAGGCTCAGTCGCAGTGAAGCAAGGAAATAATAACTCTGAGACTTCATTCTTGAAAAGAATTATCTTCAAAGTCATTTTCTCTCAATGAAATCCCCCACTCACTGCCGCCGCAGCCGCGTTTCTGAGTGTCTCATTGAATTCTTGGACTGTGGGATTTCGAAATTGCAGAAACGGACTTGCAAAAGTGGCATTTTTCGAGTTCAACTTCTGCAGCAAATGCATGCAAAGCTGCCGCTAAGTCCTACGGGCTGTTTCCGAGTTGCTTCTGCAGATAAAGTGGTTTAATGGCTCCCGCGTGAGCTGTTTTCTTTGAACTTTCTTGTTTGTTGAACGGGGCCAATTCAGTTTCTTCTGCACTTAGTTCCAAGTGGCCAAACTTGAGACTTTATTCTTGAGGGCCCCCAGAGGCGGGGCTTCACTTCTTGCTGCTGAGCAGCAGCAGCAAAACGAACGGAGTAGGAAATTGCTGCAGCTCTTTTGCCTCTCGCTGGATCTTCTTTTTAAATCTAATGAAGTATATTTCATTTCCTTTTTAAAACTAATAAAGTATATTTCATGTTTTTGCAAAAGAGCCAAAAAGCCCTTTTGCAAAAACATGAAATGCTCTCCGCTAATTGGGGCCTCCCGTGCTGTTCTTGCATGCAGGCTCAGCCCCTGCGTGGCAACAGCAGCAAGACGTGGCTAGCCACAGCTAGCCACAGCTAGTCACAGCTAGCCACAGCTAGCCACAGCTAGCCACAGATAGCGACAGCTAGCCACAACTAGCCACAGGTGACCACGGCTAGCCACAACTAACCTCAGCTAGCCACAGCTAGCCACGGCCAGCAGATTGCATCTAGCCACTGCTTTTTGTGGGATGCGCAGCTGCCTGTAGCTAGCCACAGCTAGCCACCGCAAGCTGCAGCTAGCTAGCCGAGCCTCTTGCGGTGGCTAGCCCCAATCAGCTTTCATTTGGTCTTTTCCGATTTTCAGGATTTTGCATTTGCTGCTTCTTCAAATCTTTTTATTCAACTTTTTATTTAAATCTTTTGTTGCAAAAGTTCCTTCCTTTGCTGCACTTTGGTGCAACAGCAATTGGTGCTGAGGTAAACCCTAAACCCTAACTGCAAACCCTTCAGCCGAACCCTAAACCCTAGCTCCAAGCCCTAAGCCGTAAACCCTAAACCCTACTTCTAAACCCTACGCCCAAAACCCTAACTCTGAGCCCCACGCACTAAACCCTAACTCTAAACCATTTGCCCTAAGCTCTAAATGTATGCCGCGAGACCTAAACCCTAAACCCTAGTTGTAAGCCCCACGCCCCAAACCCTAAACACTAACTCTAAATGCCAAACCCTAAACCCTAACTCCAGTGCGATGAAGTTTGTACTGGGTCTCAACGGCCACAAATAAATGAAAGCAAGTGGGCCTACGCAGTGTGGAGCCTAAACCCTAAAAAAGGGTTTTGGGTGGGCTTTCGTAGTGCGGAGCCTAAACCCTAAAAAAGGGTTTAGAGTGGGCGAAGATATGCGCGGGCAGCTGCCTTTAAATGAACTGCGAATTCAGGGCTAAGAAAGCATTTGGCATTGCCTTCAGGTGTCTGTACACCCCAACAGCTTGTCTTCCCTAGCTCCATTGCTATTATTTGTGTACTCTTTTTGTAAAATGAATAATTACAAATATAAATGCATCTATGCATATATATCTACTCAAGCTCAATTATAAACACTTTTACTGAAACGAGCCCGCAAAGCAGCAGCAGCAGCAGCAGCAAATGTGCTGCAGCAGCAGCAGCTGCTGCTGCTGCAGCTGGCAAATAAAGACGAAGTGGATTCTGAACTTTAGAGTTTTTAACCACTTTAATCAAATGCAAAGAGTTGCAGAGTTTGTCCCATTTCGGGTGTGGGGCAGCGGGCCAGGCCAACGCCCGCAGCCTTAGAGCAGCAGCAAAGAGCCCGCAGCGCACTTGTGCAAGACATGCATTTGCATTTTTGAATTCTTGAAAGAAGAACTAAACAGAATAAATGAATAAATGCAATTCCAGTGCATGCAAATGCACAAAGACGCACCCAAGGCCCACACAAACATTCGGGCTTCCTCCTTTTCTGTTCCCTCTCGGCAGCAGCCGACGTGTACATACACCCAAGTGTACATACACCCCAAGTGTACATACACCCCAAGTGTACATACACCCCACGGCTCAAATGCCGGCTCTGATCCCAAGCGCAGCCGCAGCCGCAGCCGCCGCCGCAGCAGCAGCAGCAGCAGCAGCAGCTGCTGCTGCTGCAGCAGCAGGGGCCGCAGCAGCGGATTACCTGCCGCGGAAGCCCCCCCCGC